AAGTATTTCGGCATTAATTTCTTCAATTCCAAAACTTTTTTTGCTATATTTATTTATTAATTGTTTTAGTATTTTATCAAAATTTTTATCCCATTCAGATGTAAATCCCGATTGACCAAATAAATTTTCTTGAGAATTTGGATTTTCTTGAGCAAGAAGTGATAGGTTGAATGGAAGTTCAAATTGAAACACCATTCTTAGTGTAGCATACGCAGAGTTCCGCATAATATTATATATATTCCCATACTTGAAAACAATATCTTTAAAGTCGATATCATTAATTACGGTGACGTTTCATATATTCGGGCCTTTAAGTAATCTTGTTAAAGGATTAGACTTATTCATAAGTTCTTTTTCCAGTCTTGATTCATGTCTCCGGGTATGGGATGTAATATATACGGCATGTAGTATGGCTTGTAGAGAAGAAATTAATTTAGGCTTTTTACATAAAGAAGCCATTGTATAGGTAAGCCATATTTTCCACGAACAAAATGATATTGTCAAAATAATTAAGGCAAAAAATGATGTAACTTTTTTTATAGTATCTGTGTTATATTCGGGTTTATTTTTTTCACGTTGTCTATGTTTTCTTTCTCTAATTGCATACTTTCATCTTTCAATAGATTCAATTAACCCTTCAAAAAAGCTAGTAAGAATCAAGGGAAAACTATTATAATATTCGTCTAATGAGGATGAGTTTTCTAATTTATTACGATTTTTTCAATATCTTCACGTGAATTCCATATTGTATTTCTTAACATTTCTCCAAATTGACGGCATTCTTCTACTTTTACAAGATTTTTATCCATAGGCGAGTAATTATCAAACTTTTTAATTTTCATTGCAATTTTTACAAGCAGTGGACTAGGTGAACAAGGTTCTGTATTCATCGAGGATGACAAAGATGATCTCGGGGTTTCTAGCAATTTTATAATGTATTGTAATACTTCTTCTTTTTCACTTTCATTTGGAGAATATGAAAGTTTAAATAACCAAAATGAAAAAAGTCTTAACATGTAGTTAGTGTCTTCTATATGCAATCCATTACTAACACATGTTTCAGACTTTCCAGGTCCTATACGTTTATGAATATATCCACCATGCTTTTCGAAGCACTTTGTGAAGATAAATCTAACATATCTGTCTTGAACAGTAAATTTCGAAGCAATATTTGGAATTCTTTGAAATACAGAACATGATTTCAAACCGGTACATAGAATCTGAATATCTCTCCCGCATATATTCCAACAATGTTCTACACAATCATTGCCTATGCTAAAGAACCTTTTATATTCATTACAAAATAAGCATTTTTTTTTATGAACTTCACTTTTACTAAAATTTCTTAATACTTTAGTACCAGACGAGTGAAGTTGCCCATGATCAAAATTGAAATGATTAGAACAAACACCTAGATCAGATAAATTTAAAGATACTTCTGCAGTCAATTCTACTTCCCATGTTCCAACTAATTGAGTTATTGATACCAGAGAAATTATTGAATTGTAGTGTCTAATTACCCCGCCTAAATTATCGATGACAATGCAAGGTGAGCGTTTTTTTCCAACTTCTAGAATTTCTTCATAATTCATATCAACATCAACATTGTTTTTATCATCGTCATCCTCAGGTAATATATTTTCTTCAATATTGCTGTCTTCATGGATTACATACTCTTCTAATAAACTTTTTGTATTTGTTGTGGCTAGATAATCGTGAGTAAACATGAATTCCTGATCATTTGGGTCAGTACTCCAACTTTCTTCTTCTGGGCTTTCGTACATGGAATAGTTATAATTTTCACTCATTGGGACCAATTATTGATTAAAAACTGTTGGCAATATTTATTTTGCAGGTAATAGTTTTATTTTGAATGTTGGATAAAAGGCTTGAGGCACCTTATTTATAGATTATAAATTCTTATATTTGAAACATTTTAGAGAGATCTTAACAAAGGTGTTTTGGAAAGTATTTTAGACGCGTTTTAGATGAGTATTTTAAATAATAGAGGCATTTTAAAAGATAAGTATTTTAAAGAATATTTTAACAAGATATTTCGAACAAGGTGTTTTAGACAAGGCATTTTGGATAAATGTTTCAAAATTTTTAGACAATTTATATTTTACTTTTATATGTTATGTTTTATATTTATTAATTTTTATTACAATTTTTAATTACAATTTTTAATTTATTTTTTATTACAATTTTTAATTTATCTTTTATTACATACTAATTGTCATTGTGACTTCATTATCTATTACAGTTTCATTATGATTTCGTTATGATTTTACTGCAATTTTTTTATTTTGTACAAAAAGATTTTTTTATTTGTATATATATTGCAATTAATAAAATGCAACTTTAAAACTAAAATATATTTCCATCATTTTTTTTATTTTGTAATATTTTAAAAATAATAAAATGCTTCAATTATTCTATGAATTTTAAATAATCATTTAAATTAGGTTTTAAGTGCGACATATATATATATAATTCGACTAAATATGCACAATACATAGTTGTGAATCCACTTTTCCCTATCTCCAAATTCATCATAAGAAATCTATGGCAATTAATATTTGACATCCATATCATCAGCTTTTTATAGAATTTAAAAGCTTTAGTCTTACCTTTTTTGACTCTATTTTCACATTCATAACAAAGACCAATCATATATGCTTTATCAGTGTTCGCTTCTCTGCAGATTTTGATAACACTTGAAAGCCTTGTGTTTATCCCTTTCAACACCGATTCTGACAAATCTGTGAATAGATTATTTCAAATACTTCGATTAATAAATAATCATTACACTTCAAGCTATCAGAATGAAAAAGGTGAAGCAAATAAATTAAAAAAAAGAGAGTAAAAAGATTATTATCCTTTATTATTGTAACAACCGGAAGCACAAATCTAGTAGAGTTTGTCCGAATCTCCACAACATGAATCGGCCATTATGTTTTGAGATTCTTTAATCTAGTGACAGAATTCTCTTATAAATGATAACAAATGCCCAGTGAGAAGGTTTTGAAAAAGCATTAATTTTAGTAAAGCGCAAGTTTGAAGTTAAAACTTATATTGAAAACTTGTAGTTAGAGATTTCTACAGTATGTTCTTATCTTAGGATTAAGATTCAGAAATGTTAATAAACTTTAAGCCTGACATTATTCTTCATTTACATATAAATTGGTTTTCAAACTTATACTGGTTAATAGAGCGAAATACATAGAATAGCACTATATAGAGAAAAATTTTGATATCTTCCACGCGTCACATGGTTCAATTATTAACGAATAAAATTTTTTAAAAATTTTAATAGTAAATTTTAAAAATTGATCTACATTTTTACTATGATCTAGTACTCACATATATGGAAATGTGACATGTCTGCTGACTATATAGTAAAATTTGGACTTTACTATGTAGCAACTCAACTATTGGCGATCGACTAAAAATCGCTTTAATCCGAAAAATAAGTATAAACTTTATTCAACATTAAACTCTATAATATATAGTTTCAGCTAGTAAAAAAGAGTTTGGATGCGGTATAAAGAAATTTAATATTTTAGTTTAGTATAACCAGCTTAAATTATTATAGAAAAATCTGTTCTGCTAAATCTGGTTCGCTATAAAAAGAGTCGACTATATATTATATCTATCTAGAATCATACCTGGGTCTTTTTCAATTTTCTGAATCATGAACCCATGACTTGTACCTGGGTCTTTTATATGGGGGGTATTATAATATGGGGGTACTGTAGTCAGCACCGTATGGTAAACCTTTTTTTAAACTTTGAGCGATGTTACCTTGATAACCACTATGTTAAATATACTAAAAGTCATTAATTAACTTACAGTATATTTAAAAACTTCATTTTCAGTACTATTGCTATTCTAATTTATATTCTGATTTGAATGTTTTATTAAAAACAATGAATATAATTTTACTATAGAACTAATTCTTAAGCAGTTAAATAAAAATTTCCCTTCATGATTTATTAAGAGAATGCCACTTTATTGTGAACTTGTATATATAAATTTCAAAAATAATTCTTATTTATCATACACAAAGTTATATTCTAATTCAATCTCTGAATCAATTGTGACGATTTCTTTAGGAACAAATTTTTGCACAAAGTTATATTCCAAATCAACCCCAAATAAGTCTGAATCAATTGTGTCAATTTTGTAAGAAACAAATTTCTCAATTTGTCTATTTGAAATTTTATATAAAAAAAGGTTAAATTCTACATTGGTTATACTTTGAATCTTTCTTGGCATTACCCCAGCTATTGCTAACTCTCAAATTGAGGTTATCTCTTTTTTCACAATAAAAAGTATTCTACACAATGATTTCCAAATGTGGGTTTCTGACTTGTCCACTTGTAAATTCAAATACTTTTTAACTTGATGCTTCACCTATTTTTTTTAGCGGGAATACTAGCATTCAACCCAAGAGGAATACCTTTTTCGAATTTTCTTCGAAGGTGTAATTTATATTATCCTCCTTTGGTTCTTTGTTAACAAAACTAAAAAGAAATGCGTATCCATTTATTAGTTTTGTGTAGTAAATGAGTTTATAAATTTTAATTTCTGTTTGCACATTGTCTATAATTTTATCTAAATCAGTCCATGTTTTGAATTCCTTTTGAATAATTTCTATTGACTCAGCTTTATCGCGAAAATCAAATGTTCTCTTTGTAAAATCCAAATTATTCAATGTACGAACATTATCTGTTAAAATTGTATTATGTTTACTATTAATAAGAGATTTCGAATTACATAGGACATTAATTATGTCTAGCCAATCCTTTGACACTGAAAAAAAAATATATACATTTGAATAAAGAATTAAACTAATTAAAATAAAAATTTAAAATTATAATCACAATTAACACGTGTAATTTTCTTTTCGTTTTTATTATTTTTATTAGAAAAGATATCAATTCCTTAATAAAAGTATCAAGTTAATATTTGCCTTTAAACCATTTAAAACTTAGTAATTAATGATAAATTCCAAAGGAATTTAATGCTTTGTCTTTCCATTTGCCAACAAGAACTGGGTCGAATTTTGAATTTTGAAGCAATTCAATTAATTTTAAATATTGGATTTTAATTTCTTCAGAAATTTGAATGTTTAATTTATTTGAATGCCCAAATATTGATTCGAGTCTTGTATTAATTTTTATCCATATATCTTCAGTTTCATCATCTTCTTGAATCCCCAATTTTTTTAAAAGATTGCTTAGTAATTCTGGTGAATTGTTCGAACTTGCTATAGTGGGCTTAAATGAATTTATATTCAAATTACTCTCAACAAGAACCTTGCGAGTGGTAGGAGTAACCTAGAATTAAATAAATCAATAAATTATCTATTCTACAATTTGATTATAAGAAATAACTCAAAACTACTATAGTTTCAGAAGAACTTTTTATTTCAGGGTTTTGATTCAATTTTGTCTCAACAAGAACTTGAGTGTCATAATTTTCCTAGAAATCAGCAAAACGATAAATTATTTGTTATACAACAAATATTTTTGATAATAAATAATTCTGAACCTCTGTAATTTCAGTACTGCTTAGTTCCAAATTGTTTTGGTCAAAATTCCTCTTAACAAAAACTTCAGTAATAGAAAAATCCTAAAAATTAAAATAAAGTAATAAATTACCTGTCCAACAATATCCGAAAAAATAGGTCAAAATTTACCGTAAATTTACTATATATTTCTTTTTCAAGTTCAGTTCTAAAATATTTTACATCACATTCAAGGTTCTAAATTTAAAAATATTAATATTATAACGATTCACATACTCAAAAACACAATATTATTAGGCTAATTATACCAAAATGGTTATAATCATTGAGGAGTCAAATTTAAAAATTTCTAATTTATCCACATTGCGAGAATTAGTAATAAAATATAGTTTCATTCTTCGTATCATTATCCTATTTTTCTTAATAATTCTTGAAATTTCTCTTTTAACAATAATTTACCATTTTTAAACGAAATACTTTTCAATTCTCCTTTGCAAAAATTACTTAAGGTGTATGCGACTGAATAAAATTTATCATGAAGTTCATCAGGAAGTTCGTCATTTATTTTGGAAAGGTACTGATTAACAGAAAACCATAAAAAGTTGTTTATATAACCCGAAAATCGGACACGCTGTGTTCTGTTTACCGAAAACTCCTGCATCGGACTGATTCGGGTAGATCTATGGTAACTAATATATTGTTACATGAGTGAATATCATAGAAAAATAGATTAACCAATATACAGTGTATCAATTTTCTTTTATTTCCTTATTATATTATGGTTTGGTTCATAGGTAAAATATTTCTGAATTTCGAAATTCTGGCCTGTATTAGCTGTAAACTCTATAATGTGGGCCGCAGTAGATTTAAAAAAAATATATTACGTATTTTATTTTTAATAAAAATTTTATACAAACTAGTCTGTATTGGATCTTGATGCCGTGATTTAGAGGTATAAATTTATGTGGCTTAGTGTGATTTGATTTTACTTTTTAATTTTTTCTATTGTTATTTATATTCATATTTTAAAATTAGTTTATATGTAATAAATTAATAAAGGTAAACTGGTAGTATAATATGTATTAGTCATATAATAATTGTTCTCCATATTATCTATTTACGTTTAAATAATAAAATTTAGTTTAAGAACTTGTATAATTTTACATAATTCACATATTTAGCGGAGTTTGCCCACCTTTGAGAATATGCATAATTAATTACGCAGATTATAAAAAACGTGATTTATAATTATGTATATAATGAAAATGATAATTCATTGATCTCCAGCCTGATGTTATTGAATTTCCTCTTTTTATTACCTTACCTCTGTTACTTGGTCAAGATTTTCAAATATGTGATTATTTCTAAAAACTAATAAAAAATACTGTAAATAACTTTATTAAAAAAAATCATATGTTTAATTTAAAGGAAATTATTGTTTCTTTTTCATATATAATTAATAAATCATATATGCGATTATCTAATAACGTGAGTATATAGTTACATTTATTATAAATCATAATTGAAAATGTATTGTAGTAATAATTATAACTATGAAATAGTCATAACCATATCTTAAATGTAAATTTATTTGATATCTTATGGGGTAGCTTGGTATCCTATCATTATTATCTTGTGAAAGCGCAATTATTGAATCAACTACTATATAAATTCTATTTATTGGTATAGATAACATATAGAAGTAACAAAATAATTCTACGCAATTGAATAAAAACTTTAAAAACATATTTACATATATGAATTTAAATATTCAATATTGAGATTTATATATTTTTTTTAATTGACTACCATATAAATTCTATTTATTGGTATAGATAATATATAGAAGTAACAAAATAATTCTACGCAATTAAATAAAAACTTTAAAAATATATTTACATGTATGAATTTGAATATTCAATATTGAGATTTATATATTTATTTTAATTGACTACTATATGAATTCTATTTATTGGTATAGATAACATATAGAAGTAACAAAATAATTCTACGCAATCGAATAAAAACTTTAAAAACATATTTACATGTATGAATTTGAATATTCAATATTGAGATTTATATATTTATTTTAATTGACTTATTTGATACAAAGTCGTTTGTACATGGGAATTAGTTAGATATAGTATAGTGTCATAATTTTTATGCACATGGTAAAAAAATGAATAATTCATTGATTTTCAGATTACGATTTATATACGTCGTTTAGTGACTGATATTTTCTTTACGATTTACTTGTTGAAAATAAAAAAAATACAAACATGAATTTCTTATACTCTCTTATTACCCTTCTCACTATTCTTGGTATTATCATCATTGACAATATCAATAAACCCAAAAAGAAAATTGTAAACATTTACGTACGCATTCTAATCATAGTAATATCAGTATATATTTTTAACATGTTTTATAATACTTATTATTGGATACATCACATCAGCGCTCATTCCAAGTGGTTGATATACTGATATTACTATTAGCTATAATTAAAATGCGTACGTAAATGTTTACAATTTTCTTTTTGGGTTTATCGATATTGTCAATGATGTTCATTTTATTAAACATAATTTTAAAATACTATGTTCATTATTACTTCTTTAATGAATAATTCATTTGTCTTGAATGAAACCAAACAAGTAATAAATAGTAAGTGCAACTATATTTATTATTCATTGATATTAACTAATTATTTTTTTTTAGTTAGAAATAAATAAGAATAAGAAAATAGCGAATAAATCATCTACAGAAGGATTTCCAATACTAGATGATTTTAAAGACAACTCTGAAAAAAAATGGAGAAAACTGAAACTTTAGATATCTCCTTACAATATGAACACTGATAAAGATGATGAACTGAAAATATTTTCTTTACTCGACTAGAAATACTTTAAACACTTGGACTATTTTGTAAATAGTTTACAACATACATTATTTTATTATATCTTGTAATTTAAACATGTACATTATTTATTTTGTACATAAATGTAATAAAAATATTATACAATATATTTTGAAACTAAATTTAAAGAAAGACTTCGTCACTAACCAAGACTGAACTTCTTTGGAATGAACAATCTTAGTTGGTGACGGAGACCGACTTTGTCATTTACATTAAAGAAATTTTCTTGACATCTAAAATTGATAGTATTAATTATATCTATAGTCTTAGAAATGAAATAAATAAGATTGTCCTAATTTTTCATCAGAAATCCAAAGATGATTTTCTTTAATAGAAATTATACAATTGGTAGAATGGAAAGATGTTTTACTGAAAACAGTAAAGTTTTGTATCTATTGTCCAAAGGATGGTCATTGGGTGTAATAATGTTGACAGTAGAAAATGGCAACATTTGTTTTTCTTATTTGTTTCCCAGTAAAACGACAACGATTTCTTTTTTACTGGTGATCTGAGAAGGATTGAACTCTTTTTCTTTGGTTTATAGTTTGGAAGTGATTCCAAATTGAATGGTAAGTACATTAATGTACTAATCTTAAAGACGTTCATTCTCAAAGGGTATACTTTTATTCTTGTTAGTCAACTGATAACCAATAACAAAATTATTTATCATAGTACTTTTTTTTTATAAATAAATCAAACTCTAAACCAGGACTTACTATGATAGTATACTGATGCAATTTTTACAACAAATAATTGGTTCACGACTATGAAAAAAACTTGCATACTTTCAAATCATAAAAAAAAGCCACAGCTGATTAAATTATTTTATACAAGTATTTTATAAAGTAATAATATTTATTAAATGAAAAAAATTAATATGGATAATTATAATAATTTTTACATATCACGCCATTATTTCCACTATAAACATAAATATTTCCTCCAGGACATTCCCTTCTCCCTCTATTATTTCTTTCAGAACTTCTATAGGTACTGTCAGTAGAGAAAGACCTACTACTGGTATGTGATGAAATGGAGATGGTGAATTTGAGTTTCTAACTACATGAGGAGAAACCATAAGATCAACGAGTTCTTGTGGTTGCTTTCCTTCTCCGTCACTTGAAGGAAACCTAGATAAATTTGGTAGGTCATAAGAAGGACCAGCTTGTGGTAAAGGTGTTCGATGAGAAGATGGAGAGGTTTGAATAATAGTCGGTTGCCCAGGTTGGGTTATAGTCACTGATGTAACTGGAACTATAACTCTTCTAGGAGATACGTATAGAAACCGGATTCCGAGACATGTACATTTAGTACAGATATAATGTTTTCGTGTACTGTGTTTACTATGGGAACATACAATATCATCACAACTGAGACAATGGCTTGTATTATTACCGTGTTCTCTTGGTGGTATTTTTTTTTGAGAGATTGACTGGATGACCTATTCTTAGACTTATTATATGCAAGGTATGGGAATTTGATAAGCAGTTAATACCAGTTTTGATTTCTTTTTGTTTTGTTTATCAAATTCCTTGCATATAATAAGTCTGAGAATAGGTCATTCGGTCAATCTCTCAACAAAAAAATAATCTCATTTAAAACAGGTTTATACAACTTGTAAACGAGTTACAATAAGGCAATGTGATAATCTTAAATAAAATTAGATCAATATTAATAAGGCTATGAATTACTTATCTGTTTAATTAACAAAAAAAAAAATGCTGAGACATAATAGTCGAAATCAACACTCCGCAAGAGAAAGGGATGCTATTTTTTACGAAACTGTTGGGGCTTAACAAGATACAGTTAGAAGTTTGCAGAGGAGAATAACAACCTTGACTCGTTTCCTTGAAACAAAATCAAATAATAACAGAAATCTCAGAAGAGAATTACAACGAGTACAGAGAGAATTATCTGTTTTTAATTTTAGAAATAGAGAATTAAATAGACAGGTATAGACTTTTTATAATGTTAAATTTTAATTTATAATTAATATATTTTTTTCGTTTAAGGCTTCAAACCTCGGAAGAAGAGTGGAATATCTTGAAGCGTTGGTGAGGAGATTTGGAGTTAGAATACTACCATCATTTGATAGAACTATATCTCTTTATAGCGAGAAAGAATTTAATAAGTATATTTTTTATTTATTATGTAGTTAGTTATTTTATTTTTTTTATGACAAGACTCATTATGGGAAGTGTAGTAGTCGCTGAGTACGCTGTTTCTATGATGGCCGGTTGCCTTTGATGCGTTCACTGTTAAAAAAAATGTATAAGTTAAAAATAAAAATAAAAATAAAATAAATGATATAACGGCCGTCAATAGGCACTACACCTCTTGCTTGTTTTAGTTTTTTTTAGATATAATTTCTTAAGAGTTTGATGATTCATTTGTTTACTTTTGTGAATGTTTGATAAGGACTGGGCCATCATGAGTGTTTGCCTCCACATGGCATGGCCTGGATAACCAACCAAAGGACACTCGTTTTATGTTTAAATTTCCATGTTGTATTACATATATAATTAACAAAATTACTAAATTAATTATGGCAAGTATCGAAGCACTTTGATCAAAAAATTCGTTTACTAAATAAGTAATAATTAAACTTGAAATTATCGCATAACATAGTCCTTCTATAATGTATTATGTTATTAGCTTCATTCTTTAAGAAATTTATCAACGATAAAGGATAAACTTACCGGAAAACATTATAATCAGAAGTATAAAGATAAAAATTTTATTTTCTAGTATCTATCCAAAAACTAAATATAATATTGAATATAATGCCAGAAAAATCTAAATTCTTTTTAAATGCATTTTCGGATAGCCGATACCTTTATTTTTTTTGGTTTCTATTTTTAAGACATAGTCCGAGTAGTAACCTTCGATTAAACTACCAATAATGTATCCCATGCCTTGAGCAATAAATACAAGTCCAACTTTAGAGATACTAACATTATAAAATGTAATAAAGATTTTTGCTGTTAAAACATCTTGAGTATATACTATCGTAGTTGCTAAGCCAAAGTAAATTAGAGTTAATGTGACTTCGGAGTAATAAAGTAAGTAGAACGGAGAAAATGGATCAAGACTTTTTTTTGTCATGTTAGATCAGTCATATGCTTCCGGGAGAGCAAAAAAAATAAATAAAAATAAAAAGCTACCAAATATTGCAAGTGACCAAAATATCCAATACCATACATAATTTTGAGCAATGAATCTACCAGTTATAGTTCCGATTAAAAAACTAATCAGTGGACCAATATAAACTATGCTATAAGCACTACCATTTTTCAGAGTTGAATATGTCACTTATACTTCTAGCACCAGCACTTTGTGAAACCGAAGCGCCGCATACCTAAAACGCTCGCATTGTTAGTAATAACCCAATATTATTTGCGATACTACAGATTGCACTTGTTATTGTAAATAATATAGTCGCAATCAAATATATATTTTGTCTAGTAGAAAAATACTCAGAAGAAACAGCCCAAAAGAGTGGAGCAATACCGAGAAATAGTGTAAATATTCCTACTAGTGCATTGGTCGAGATTTCTGAAGTATGTAATATATTTTGAATACCAATAATAGCCGGATATATTATTCTAAAAGAAAAAAATTAGTATTTAAAAGATAATTGTTTTTTGATGTGGAAAAAACTTATGAAACCGATATGGCAAGCAAAGTCCAAGTTGTCGAAAGTATAAAGAAAATAAAATATTTTCTTTTTGTTTACAACGTTTGGGATCATTATTAGGAATATATGTATTACTGAATTGTAGCATGATTTGATTTATCTGGTTAGTTTTATTATGATATTTTATATTATTAAAATTTATAAAGTGTATTGTACATGTGAATTGTCATTATTTAATGTGATAATTATTATATCATTAAAATAATTTTAATGAGAAAACATTGCAAGTCTTAAAATAAATATTTTTTTTTGTATTTGGTAAATTTTATAAACTTTTATCGCGTAAAATAATTCTCAACTATTTTTTCATAATATCTTAAAAAAATACTATATCTTATTATCGTTGCTATTATTTTAGCTTCCGTGATTATATTTTGGTCTTACAATCCATATCTCGGTTCTTCAGATTTAGAAAAAACTGTCAAAAATATAAGGGAGGGAGAAAAAATTATTAATGCAAAGGACGAAAAAATAAATATTTTACAGTGTTATTTTCGTTTTGGTTTAGTGGTTGGTATCTTAATATTAATTGCGGCTGGACTTAGACTTGATTATCTAGAAAGTGAATCACAACAAAATAGAAACATAATTTCGTATCAACAAACTATGATTAAGACTCATAATGAATACATATGTCTTTTTAATGAAAAGTCCGAAGAAGACAAAGAAGAAAGTGAAAAGATGATGCAACTGTATGCTGTTATCGGTGATTTTCTCAAGTTAGCTAATGAAAGGAGGAATAAGAGAATCTCATTTCTTTCAAACGAATTTTAAATAAGATTCTTAATTTTTCATTAGATGGATGATTTAATTGTAAATATTTACATAGTTTAAATTTAGTTTATTATGTTGTATTGTATAAATTTATTATTAAATAAAATATTATATTTAAATGGTTATATAATGATTATGTTAGTAAATAAAATAAAAATATAAAAATGCCAACAATTATTTTTTTTTTGCCATTGATATTCCAATACCAGAAAGTTCTGAATGGTTGATGTATCCAGGAATTGGAATATCAACGACCTTAAATTATAAATTTTCCCTTTCCCATTATTGTCATCGAAATCACCATCTTTTAATTCATCATATTTATTTTATAAAATAAATTACCAAATTTATTACTATCTATAATTATACATTCTTCCCTTTCCTTTATCATCATCGGGGCAGTCAACCTTTAATTCAATCATTTCAATTTTATTATTTTACAAGTTCACCATTAAGTCTTTGATTCCAAAAGAATGTCTACCAATATGTATGATTTTATGATATCAAATATATCTCAGGAAGTCGATGTATCTAGTTTCCTTTTATTGTCATATTATTATTATCTATAGTGAATATTGCATTCTCGTCATTTAGTTTGATAATGTTAATTTTATCGAGAACGTGTTATTGAATTTTCTTCATTATAAATTTTCTTGATCTTCTTGATTTTCTTGAGAATTGTTTAATGATATTCTTTTAATGGCCCATTGATTAACGACATTGGACATTACATCCATATACGTCTTATAATCAATTCTATTAAGAAATTTGGATTCTTTCTAATACATACCACGGAATAAGAGATTTATAAAAAAGATACATTTCATAATTTGCGTATATTAAATATTGGCTATGGTAATGATTTTTATTTATTTATTTTTTTAATACTCGATTCTTCATCCAAATTTCAAATTTGTAATATTTTCCGATAAGTAACGAATTTATTGTCTGGAGCGTAGTAAAAGTTTGTTTAATCGTTCTTTACGTTCTTTTTAGAATATTTTTTTTGTATGGAATTTAATAATTTATTGTTTTCTACATATATGATAAGTTTTTATTTTCGACGGTCTTGTATTGAGACATTTTGAATTGTATATTGTGGTTAAGACGTGTTGTTTGTTGGTTTATTTATACGGGTCAGAATTGATGAACGTGGTTGATGACAGGACAATTTATTTGACTAATCATCAGTACGAGTCTGATTATGTCAAGATTTACTTTCAATAAAGCCAAATAAATTTTGGTACGAATAATTTTTATTGATTAAAGTATATACATGCAGTGTTGATATCGGAAGTTACAAATCAAGAATAAATACTATTTTATTACAGTGAATTGTGTATATTTCATTGAACTAAACAATAAAATAAATTTGTCTATCATGTTATTTGTCATGTCTATTTCTGTGTTGATTCTATTAATAAGGTGCATTTGATTATTGTATTTATCTTTCATAATGTTGTAACTTTCAGCAAGATTTTCTATCCTTGTTGAATTGTTTATGGATAGGATTATGAATACAGCTGCAATTATTATAACAAGTATTGTCAATATAGTCAACTTATCTGTAAATAGTTAGGGTTAGCTCAGGTACTATCTTATTGAGAATACATGAATATACTTACAATCCTTTTCGGTCTGGGTACCTAAAGTTCTTGTATTAGGGTTAGGCCTATGGTTGGTGGAGTAGAAATAGTATGTTGTGCCATCGTTGGCCATTTAAACAAGGGGTACTATCAGTGAAGTAGAACCAGACAAAGAACTATCAGAATAAATGTATTTTTGTTAATTAGACATTTTTTATTGTCGAGACAAAAGTGTTTGCCGTCAATATTTAAACTTGAGTTTTCTTGTAATTTATCATAGCAAACGACAAACATATCATTAGAAAAAGTTTATATTGATTAATAGTTTAAATATAATGATTAAATCGCTACGTTTTAATCAATGAACCATTTTATTTATCTTAAAAAATAATATTGATAAAACAGAGTAACATAAATCAACTTTAAATTATTCTAAGCATATTCTTAATAATTCTATATTAAATAAATGAATAATTTTCACAATTTTAAACTACCTTTGTAGTATTTTCCAAATTATTATTGGATGTAAAGGTTTCATTAAAAGAATTTCGATATTCATCTTTATAGAATGTTCTGATGCAATAGCATCGATAAATTGCACATAAAATAATTAATAAAATAATAAATCCCAATATAGAGAAAGTAACCCAACAATAATCACCACAAACTCTATAACCATTGGAATCTTAATACCAAAATACCCATCAAGAAGAAGATAAGTAATAAGCTCTCGTTAAGAGTTTGTTAATGTCAGGATTCTTTTTCTTTTTCAGTCATGATCTCCAATTATAGCAACAAATAATGACCCTATTATTACGAATATAAAAAAATCTGATGCAGACTATTTATTAGTTATAATCAATAACTAATTCTTTTTTATAAGTTCTGAAGTTATTTAAGATGTAAATTTGGACGAGATGAATATGGTGTGTTTTTTCTGGATATAGTCGAGATAAAACCAATTGCACAAATTACTATTAAAATAACTTCTAATATAATCATCATATAATTTTTATCAAAGTATTTTGACAAGTTTATATAATTTTATTTGCCTGAAAGATAAACATTCATCAACAAAACATTTGAATGGACAAAACACTAAATGTTGATTGTACGTTGCATATGAAACAGTATGAAATTATTTTAATTATAAACTAAGAATGAAAATATGAAACTTCTGTGAAAATTATTAATAATCTTCAAACTGTATTAATTAGCTGATTATTGATTCAGTATAATAATTTAATATGTAACATTATTTGAAACATAAATGAATCATATGGGTGTTAAAAGTTAAAAGGGCCCATTTTTACATTTTTTAAAAAAATAAGTTTTTATTAGATTCATATATATTTTGACATGATTGACATTTTTCAATTATAAATGAAAGTCGATTTGCATAATGAAAAATAGAGATAATGTAGAAGAAAATTATACGAGGCCAAGCACATTACGATATTACCCGATAGTCGCCTGTTACTTTTAACCAATTAAAATCATGAAATTTGGTTAATCCGGATCAGTCAAAAAATCAAAACAAATTATTATCTATTAATGAAATATATGTAAAAATAGGCCCTTTTAACTTTTAACACCTCATATAACATAATGAAATTATTATTACCATTTAAAAGCATGTTTATTAACGTGTATCAAATAAAGTATAAAAAAAAGTAAAGTTCTGTTTAAAAAAAAATATATATACTCATCTGTTTATAAAAAAACCTGAATATAAAGTATAATAAAGAAAGAATAAAATACTTTGTATTTTCCCAATAATAAATAATACTAATTCCTCTGCCTCAACCACCTAAAGTAATTACGCAAAAATACCCATCCAAAAACAAAGAAAAATCATCAGAGCCAAATGTGGCATCAACTTTAAAAGAATCGAATATAAAACCATATTGGAACGATTATGCAGGAAACTTGTCTAAGAGGCTATGGTTACCTACAGGTTCATCTGTGTCTTCTTACTCTACTATAACAAACTCATGGTTCTCTTCGAGAATACAACAACCAATAAACACGAACTCTCCAGAAATATATTTACCAACGTTATATGAAGATGATGAGTCTGAAGATATTGAAGGAAAGAAAAAGAAAATTAACCTTTATATGAAAAACAAAGAAACAGAAACTAGATATGACAATATACAGAATGTTAAAAATCAAAACATATCCAAACCATTCGCAAAAGAAATTGTTGAAACGTTGGATGGAATTATTGCGATTTGCTTATAACACTGTCGTCGGTTAGAACAGGAAAAGATGTTATTATGATATCAATAAGCAAAAACAATGGTTAACATATCAGATGTTTGAAGAGAAACTCGCATTATATTTTGATATTGAGGATAAAGATCTAAGAAAGAAATGTGTATGGGGAGAAAGCAAGTTCTTAGGAAGGGTTGTTAGGCTAGGATTATTACTCAAAGGATGTCTTGACAAAGTTTCCGCAAACATTATTGATAAAACTATAGAAGAAGCTTTAATCGCTAGAGCAAACATGATAACAAAGAACATGGAAGGAGAATCTATTTCCAAGTTATCTTTTAAATCAAAGAAAGATCTTAAACATACCATTACTATATGTACTCAAAATTTTTTGAAAAAAGATTGAAACCATTTCTATGTATCATATCTTCATAATAAGTCTATGAGATCGCTAAGAAAGAAACCAAATGACTTGGTAGAAAATAAACGTGACTTGAGGCCTCTTTATTTCGAGACCAAAAGGAAAAATAACAATTGGCTATCAGAAAAGATCGATTGTAACTGCAAGTTCATATATCATAGGAAGACCAACGAATGGTACCTCTCCTGAGTATATTAAAGACAGAAAAAGATGAGAAAGGTTTATGAGAGGTATAGATTTATAGATCCTGGTGTCAAGACTCCATTTGTGATATACTCAGATACCGAAGGTGTCACTGAAATAGGTAATAATGATGCACAAAGACTGGTGAGGTTAGAACATCACACCGACAAGCTGAGTTCAAGAAGAGACAAACTAGGTAATTCAAAAAGAAAGAAGAAACAAGCCAAGAGGATCGATAAGGCCATCGCTCGAATATTCAGAAAGATCAAGAACCTGAGGAACGAACTTCACCAAAAGATCATAAACCATCTGGTGAAGAATTACAACGTAATCATGATACCAGAATTCGACATCAAGAGCATGGTGAAGAAAGAGAAAAGAAAGATCAAGTCCAATGTTGTAAGAAGCATGTTGACCTGGTCGTATGGATTGTTTAGACAGAGGCTGATACACAAAGCCGAAGAAACCAGTCTGAAAGTAATCATCCAGGATGAGGCGTACACCTCAAAGACGTGTTCATAGTGCGGTAACATACAAAACATTGGTGGTAGGAGGACTTACCAATACAAGAATTGCGGTCTCATCATCAATAGAGACGTGAACGGAGCGTGAGGGATATTCCTTCGTGCATTGCTTGATGGAGTCATATGCATGCATATGTAGGAATTAATGATTTGTTTATCAAGATTATTAATGATGTGTTACAATCCATCCCTGTTATGTCTAGTATAAATTCTTAGCATGAATAAATTTTGTAAGATCACTGGATAGATATGGGGTGTTAAAAGTTAAAAGGGCCTATTTTTACATATATTTCATTATGAGATAATTGAGTTAAATCATTTGTTTTGATTTTCGGACTGATCCGGATTAACCAAATTTCATGATTATAATTGGTTAAAAGTAACAGGCGACTATTGAGTAATCTCGTAATGTACTTGGCCTCGTATAATTTTCTTCTACATTATCTCTATTTTTCATTATGCAAATCGACTTTCATTTATAATTGAAAAATGTCAATCATGTCAAAATATACATGAATCTAATAAAAACTCGTTTTTTTTAAAAATGTAAAAATGGGCCCTTTTAACTTTTAACACCCATATTTGAGATAATTGAGTTTAATTATTTGTTTTGATTTTGGGACTGATCCGGATTAACCAAATTTCACGATTTTGATTGGTTAAAAATAACAGGCAACTATCGGGTAATCTCGTGATGTACTTAGCCTTGTGTAAATTCTTCTACATTATCTCTATTTTTCATTATGCAAATCGACTTTCGTTTATAATTGAAAAATGTCAATCATGTCAAAATATACATGAATTTAATAAAACTCATTTTTTTTTAAAAATATAAAAATGGGCCCTTTTAGTTGACAGCACTCCATATGGTCATAAATAATTTATAGTTTATAACTTATGTAAATTTAGACAAGAAAAGCCATAACGCTATTGATAATTGGAATTTCTAATTTAGAGATAATTTTTTTTAATCCATTTTCATCTTGTAACATTATGAAACATAAAATAACGAAAAAGATAAAAAATAAACACAATATAATTATTGAATGAAATCATAAAGGATAAAAATACAATAATTTTTCCTGTTTGCATCATCTATGATCTTTTTTAATAATATTTGATTTTTTTATAAAGAATTTATGATAAGATTATTATGTTTGATTACTTTTTTGATTACATCAAGACAAGGTTCACTGTTGATATTTAATGAAAACTTATATCAATAAATTATGGTTGGGACGAATATCAGTTCATTTTATTTTATTAATCATTTTATGCTACATATTTTAAATCTTTAAATTCAATGTTTAATTTATGAAGTTTGCTAATTTACACCACAGGTAATCATCACCTGTAATAAAATTATTTCAAAATTTTGCTTATGAAACTACTTTTGAAGCTCTAAGTAAAAAAATTCCTTGTGAAATTTTACTATAGACCTTACTAAACTCTAACCCTAATACAAGTTCTTGCACTAACCCTAAAGTCAAAGAAAAAATATTTTTCTTTGTTTATTTTGTATAGCTACGTTACATGAGATATCCATCGTCATTGATAAGGTTGGAGTGTTTCTCTTTAATTTCTGAATTTTTAATTACAAAATCTCGCCATTTTTCATTTACCCTAAGATAAGCTACTGGGTAAATTTTGTAAACTGTCATGTTGTTGAAAGTTTATTTTGAATTTATTTTTTTTAATCAAATTCAATGTTTATATCTATAAATTTAATGCTAATATCTATCTTAGAGAATATTCCATGATTTACATAGAATGATTCTGTAGAAGTTTCACGTTGTTCTATCTATGCATGATTAATCAATGGACACCTTATAAACATCTCTGTAGTTTCATCGTCAAATTAGTATTTAGAAATATCTGTATAAATTTGATAAATAAATTTATGGTTGTCTCGACAAAATAATATTATGGATACATATAAAGATTTTTGTGAAAAATATAGTTGTTTGTATAATAAGAGACATAATAGTAAATTATGTGTATCCATAATAAAAAAAATTTGTAATCCCATATTACCCAAATTGGATAATCCATCTAAAGAGAAAGTGTATAAATTAGTTAAATATGTACAGGCTGATCTTCATAAAATCCCAATGAGAAAAGAAATGACCAAGGATGAACAAGCATATTATTATTTTATCAGAGCAGAATTAAGTAATGTATGTAATTATCCATACCGAGAACCTAAAGAGAATGAAAACCATGAATACGAATCAACTTCCGTTCCCTTTATCATGAATACATCAAATTCTTTAACCGAGTATCCATTTGCACGTATTTTCAATATGGGATGTGTAGATACAATAAAATCTAATTTATTATATGATTATATGCGTCTTAAAGCTAAAGTGTTATCGGAATGTTTTACCGATGTTGATAAGGCAAAGGATATATTTGATATAATTGAGAAAAACTTTCAAACGATAAGTATTCTTATAGTAGATATACTAGAAAAGGAGATTTTGTCTTTATTTGATTACTATAATCTGAGTAATAGAATATCCTTACTTGATGAAAATAATTATCAATATGGTATTTATCGTAATTTTCCATGTATTTACCACAAGAGAAATACTTTAGTGAATCTTTTTAAAGAGTATAAACTTAGTGTTGAATTTTCGTTGGGAGAAAAGGAATATCGTAAATTTAAGAATGGGCATGTAGTTATTTCGATCCCAAAAAATTCGAGACAATCATATTAAAAGATCTTGGTATTGATCGTAAAGAAGTTAGTAATATTACTACAGATGAACTGATAAAGTTAGTTTTATTGACCAAAGCTGGTCTTCTCAACAAAATGATGAAAAAAATTACATTAAGATAAAATAAATTTATTAAGACTTTTATTTAGAATAATATGATAATTATATGAAATAATAAAAAAAAAAACAAATACAATAAATTTATTTGTTATTATTTTTAAATTGTTCATTAACTCTTTTTATAAATTCATCTTGATTAAAGAAATGACCTTTCTTAATATTGGTAGCTTTATTTAACAGTAACTCAGCACCTTTATATTTATTATTTGCTGCGTATTTTAAACGACTGATAGCTTTATCCGTGTCTTTATCCTGAATATATAATCCATTGAGATATATTTTTCCTAAAATATAAGCAGCCTTTACGTTTCCCTTTATAGCAGATAACTCTAGAAGACGGATGGCCTCTTTTATCATAATATTTTGTTGTGATATGTTTATATATTCACTTTGTTTCAATAATTCACGGGCATATTTGACCATTCCTTCGGGATCTTCTTGAACATAAGCGGATAGTGTCAAAAATCCTTGTGCTATTTGTTCATTATTTGGTATTTCAATGAATCCGTCTGCGTATAAACCACATAACCAGAAGAAATCATCATTGTCTTTAAACATTTTATATACCTTTTCCATAACATTGTCTGATTCTTTTTCATATGTTCTTTTAGATAAGTCTCGAGATTCTAAATACAACAGGATAGATTGATCGCGCATTTCACTTCGAAATGATGTAACCCATTTAGTTTTACCTAAATTATTAAAGTATGGGTGCGTTTTCGAGATATTTGGGAATGAATTAGAAAAGGATTTCATGCAAGTATCGGATGAGAGTTTGTTTTTAGATTTGACCAAAATATAATCATCTATATTTAAATTAGGATTTATTTCCCTTAGTAATTTAAAAGATCTCGTAATATCGTCATAATTGCTGTTAATATTGGTTAAGACAAGTCTTAAGTAAACTTCAGCGAGGAATATATCTTTTTCATATCCCATTTTCCCATGATAATAGATATATCCGAGTTTACATTGTGCTGTAGGAATTTTTTTGTAAGCAGCTCTTGTAAGTAATGCCATAGCCTTGGTAATAAGAGGTTGTTTTTTCGATTCATCTTCTTCATCGGTTATTTTATGTAAAAGTACAGGGGTATATTCGTCCATACCACGATAGTCATTTTGAATATAACTAGAAAGCATAAAGAATATTATTGCTACTTCTTTATCAGCTTTACAGAATTCGTATCCAATTTCACGATAATATCCTATCCAATAATAAGATTTACTTTCACAAAATAATGTGTATGCCTCTTTTCTGAAACTATCAGATTCATCGTATTTACATTCATCGAGGAGAGAGGAAGCAAGTCTATGTAATTTAATGGCCTCTTTTCCCACTTTTTTGTCAATGCGAACTGATTTATCAATACGACCTTCATTGTCGAATATATACGGGTATTTCTTAATGAAATCTGGATACGTTTGACAAAAAATGTTCAACGTGTCAGTTATTTCATCGTAATCTCTTGGAGAAATTTCGTAATCCGACATATTAGTGATGTGTTTATTTTTTTTTTTTTTGACAAGTTTGTTATTTATAATGATAATTTCAATACCAATATTAGGATTTACAGAAGGTTCGATAATTAAATCGTATTACCCATAAAAGTTTTATTACGTGTTTATCAAACATAATACATATTAATCTATTAACAGATTTTTACTAATTACTTTGTTAATTTATTAATTTTAGTTTAATATTGATATTAATTTAAATTATAGTTAGTTTAATAAACAATTTATTTTCTTTCATTTTTTCTGCTAATTCTAAGCTAAGCTCATATGCTTCATAATCTCTTTCTGCTACTGCGTGACTTAAATAATGGTCTGCTAGGTGATAATTTTTTTCACGATTAAATATTCCTTTAAAATATATTTTTCCTAGAAGACGCGAAGCTGTAATGTCACCTTTGTCAGATGCTCGAGTTAATATCATTACAGATTCATTTTGTAATAATCTTCGTTGTGGTTGAACTCTAGTATATTCAAGTCTATCCTTTATATCTGAAAAATATCTAATCATACCACCTGAATCATCTTGAATATACGCCGATAACATGAAAAACATACGTGGCGCAAGTGGATGCTTTTTGAGATCGGCATAGCATTCGAAATGATAATATCCTATCCAATAAAAATCGTTACTTTCTATAAAAAGTTTTAAGGCGTTTTTTCTAGTGAATTCCGATGCTTCATTATTACCCTTATTATAAAGGTCAGAAGCCTTTTCGTGTAATGCTACAGCAGTAGCTCGTTTTTCACGATCAATAGTTGATATTATTAAGTATCCTTCGCTATTAACGATGTTTTGGTTATAAATATTTGCAATAGATGGATAATCGCGACGAAAAGAATTCCATTCATTATTACATTTTACATAATCCTCAAATGTTATAATATTTAATATTTAGTTTGATTATTTTCGTATATTGATTTCACTGTTTTATAAAAAAATTTAGAGACTAAATGTTTGATATATAGAATGTTCGACAATCGACATAGTACGAGCTCACAAAAGTTTCATCTTAAATTCTATACAATTGACTAATTTTAATTAATCACATCTTACTTGATTACTTTATTACATAACGTAAAACCGGAACGTATTTTCCTATACGAATTGCTATATTTGTTTTCTTAGTAATCATGTTATTAGTTTAATAGTAATTGATTTATTCCAATAAAAGAAATTTTAATGATAAAATACATCAGAAATGAGATAGTGAATAAAGATTAAAAACATTTATTTAAAGACATGATTATTCGATAATTACAATTCACATTTACAATGTCAATGTCATATTTTCAAATCATTTTGTCTAATGAGATTTTGCTTGAATTATTCAAGTATATTCAATATCCTAAGAATTTGATTTTAAGTTGTAGGAGATGGTCTATTATATTTAAAGATTCTCAAAATGGATTATTTTTCAATATGGACGAGCCCATTGTCTTTTTTACGCGATTAAACTAGGTCCCGCCTTTATTTCTGTCGAGGTTGCTCAAGCTATTATCGCTAAAGGTGGAAATCTTTCTAGATATTTTGCCCAAAAGCTTCATCTTCATTATGGCCATATGACCAGAAACTTATCGACTTAAAGATAATTCATAATGTAGGACAGACAGATATCAATAGTATAAGAAATTTACAACAAAAAAGCGGTATTCCATGGGCAAGTGATTTGCCAATTTCGGTATACGTGTTTTTGTTAATGGAAGCTTACAATTTATATAAAGATAATTTGTGCTTGAAAGGAAATGATATGGAACTTTTTCATTTTCTTTCAGGTGGCCCTCACACCATCAATTATGCACCGATAGCTTTAAAAAATAATATGGAGCAACTAAGTTTCTTAATATTAAATATGAAGTTCGTGCCGTTTCCTCCGCGAAAAGTTAGCAATCAAACAAATAATAATACTGAAGAATATCCATCAAAAGACGGTCATGAAAACAACAGACAGCTTAATGTTATCGCTAGAGCAATCTTAATTTGTAAAGACCTTGTAACATTATGGAAAGGTATCAGTTATTATGAAATTTGCCAAGATGTTAATGATCTGGTATTTCAAGGTGCGATATTGATTCTTTTACCACCTGCTCAAAATCCTGGATGGACTAAACCCAATATTGAAACTATCACTAAGCGTCTTCTAGAGTTAATTGATTTAGGGTTTCGGTTAGATTATGAGATTATCCTTGATATTTTTCATCTTTTTGAACATAGATTAGACGAAGTCGGACAACTTTTGATAGAATCATTTATAAAAGTTATGGATAAGTCATTACATGATTTAGTACGCGATTGTTTGATGAAAATATATTCTCCAGATATCAATTTAAAAAATGAAAACGTAATAAATTTTTTATATAAGTATTTACCCGGTACTCGCGATGTTGAATTTACATATATATTCAATAGGATATCAATATTAAAATATTCAATTAACAATATGGAATAAATAATTATTAAGTAATTAAGAAAATGCAATAAGATTTATGAATAATCGATTAAGAATAAAATTAAGTAATAAAGTATAAGTTTAATAAGCAAATATTTTTCATATTTTACTAATAAGTTAAGGTTATTTTAAAGCAATTTTATAAATTAATAAAGTTTATTTAAGAATAAACATTTGGTCTCTGTAGATATTGTAAAAAAAAAAATGGAACATACTAAAAACTCTTTACCTAGATTTCAAATGTTTATATTGGGAGTTATAGTTTTCTCTGAAGCCATAAGTTCTACGTTTATATTCCCATTTATATATTTTATGGTAATAAAATAAATTATTTAAACATAATCTATTTGTTTTTAATATAATTGTTACTTCAAAGGTTAAAGATTTCAAGATTACCGATGATGACAAACAAATAAGTAGTTATGCTGGATTAATTGGTTAGTATATCATGATTTAGATTTATTGAACAAGATATTAACACAATTTTTGTCGATAGCATCATCATTCTTTTTGGCTAAAGCTTGTTCTTCGATATTATAGGGAATCCTATCTGATAAATACGGTCGACGTCCAATCTTGTTGCTTGGTTTATTGGGGTCCACAATAAGCTGTTTGTTATTTGGATTGAGCCATTCATTATGGCAAGCTATATTTACTCGTTCGATTAGCGGATTTCTAAATGGTGAGTATATAATTAAAATGAAATATTAAAGGTATTAACGATTATTTATTAGGTAATTCTGGGATAACCAAGAGTGTGATTGGAGAAATTAGCAATAAACACAATGAAGCAAGAGCATATTCGATTATAGTTTCTTGTTGGTCAATGGGATTTATCATCGGACCGATGATTGGAGGATATCTGTCTAACCCTGTTCTTAATTACCCGTCAATTTTTGCAAATGTCGAAGTCTTAAAAGTCAATCCGTATTTTTTACCTTGCGTTATAGTAGCTTTTATTATCTTGATTGGTGTGTTAACGGGATATTTTAAACTTGAAGAAACGCTCAAATGTTACAACGACGACAAAACGTAGCTCTATTGACGAGTAACTATTTAGATGAAAGAGGAATAGTTAAAAAGATTATTTTAAATGTACCTTTAGCTTCGTGGGTTGTGATCTTTAGTTACTCCATATTGGGTTTGAAGAATATTATCTTTGATGAAGTTTATCCCATTTGCGCGATTACCGATATTAATATCGGCGGGTTTGGATTAAGTACTAAAAACCTAGCGTTGACATTTGCGTCGATGGGAATAACTCAAATGTTTTCCCAAATTATTATTTATCCTTGGATAGATAAAAGAATTGACTGAGTTATATCCTACAAATACGTTTGGTTACTAAGTGGTCTTAATTATTTATTATTTCCATTAGTAAACAATATTAAAACTTGGAACCATTCTGAAAAAGATAATATAGCGTGGTTATTTTTATTATTTGTAACGTCTATTAGAATTTTATTGAATATTTTTTTACATAGTTCAATTGCGATCTTTATTAATAATTCTGTAAGATCAAATTCGTTAGGCAAAGTGAACGGGATAGCTCAGACTGCGGTTGCAATTACGCGTTCTATAGGTCCTCTTTTAGGAGGATTGATGTGGACCTGGTCTTTGTCTAATAACTTGGATTTTCCTTTTGATGGTTATTTTTCATTCATAGTATTATCAATATTGTCAATATTAGGTGGAATGCATGCTCGAATTATTTCTGATTATTTTTAATGTTATTGTATTTTGATTGATGAATAAACATAATCAATTATACGTGCATTATCGTATTTTATAGAAAAGGAGTAGATTAAATTCTAATTCACTTTAAATCGAAATGAGTAAACCTAATCTTAATCGCTTTACATTAGTCACAAGTACAATAAAGTTGGGAGGTAATAATGAATTACTCCAAAAATCTCTAGAACTTGATATACATAGAAATGATCCAGAAGAAGGACAAGTAGAAGAGTTTCTTCGGTTATTTTATGATGACTTTACTAAAATCCTATTTAAAGAAGAAAAACTAGTCATTGATCTAGTTAGAAGTCGTTATAAATGGTTTGGCTTAGGTGGACAAGCTCCAGATAAGAAAAGCGCTAAAGAAATACTTGAAAGTATTGACGTGACAGACAAGTTAATAACTGACAAAGCAAAAGAAACTAAAAGAAAGGCTCAACTTATCCTCGCATTTTTATTAACCGAAGAAGCAGATACAATAGAATCAAATAAATTAATCGAGGCTCTAGAAAACTTACATACAAGAGAGGTAGTTACTTTGGAAAAACAAAAAGAGTTTATTAGATACTTAACAAGGTCATCCGACAATGGAAGTCCCATTGCTCCAATGGTTTTAGGATACGCTTATCGGGAAGGAAAATTTGGACTTGAAAAAGATTCGGATAAAGGAAAGGAATATTTAGAGTGTGCTAGTGAAAGAGGAAATGAAAAGGCAACAGAGATGCTTGATTCTACTACTTCAAAAAGAAATGCTCAACTTTACAATATCGTCAAGGAAGAATAAATATCATCATTAGTTTATTAAATAAATCACAAATAAGGAATAGCCTTTAATATATTGCAATCGTTTATTAAAAATAAGTTAAAAATAAGTACTAAACAAAATGTTTTATTTATTTGAATAATATGAGTTCCATCAGAGAATTTCTGTATTCTGTATTTTAGACCTGCATTTTCTATATAATCAATATATAATGTGAGATTTCTTATACGATTTTTCCTAATATCAATATGACGAGAAATTCTCAAAAAATTAATGTTATCGTTATTAATGAATAAACATATCTTTTCTAAAAGTGTATCGTATTCTTCAAATTTAAGTTCTAATTGATCAATAAATAAATATTTTAAAGATATATGATTAATAATTTGTTCATTAGTTAGTTGAGTAATACTAAAATCTATTTTAACAATTATTTCAGAATGTTTTAATGATACGATGAGATTCTTAAATACTTTGTCATTAAGAAATCTCAGTTAGACAATGATTGATATCTTCGAATTGGTACTTGTTTATGAAAAACACTCCTTGTATACACAGTCTTTTAACAGATTTCCTACATTCAATGTTGAATCGAACTCTGAATAAAATGTTAACTCTTCTTTATTTCTATAACCACCTTACATGAATTATGAGATTAAAATCACCATGAGAACATGTATCGATTAAAGAGTTTGATGAACATTTATTTATTATATTTGTATAAATAAAGCTGTTTAATTAAATATGAAGGTAATAGTCATTTCAAATCAAGATATAGTTTAATTGGTAAAACTAATATCTAGATCAGGTTCTTGACTTACTTTTTTATCAAAAGAAATTAGTTTACTACCATTAAGATAATTGATATTAGATTTTTCGACATTAATAATAGGTTTGAATTTGTTTAATTCTAAGATAATTTGTTCATCATTTCGCCATAAATTTAAAGTTTCACATGAATTATCTGCAGTTGGACGAATCTCTGGATCTTGATCCCAACATTTTTTCATCAAATCAACATAACAATTCGAACTCGTTTTATCAACCGGTGGTCGCGATCCGTAATGAGTAAAATAACAAGTAGAAGATTCACCAAAAGATATCTCCCACATGATTATACCAAAAGAATATATTATCAGATGCGGTAGTATAAGGTTCCTTTCTTAAAACTTCTGGTGAAATAAAGGGTGGAATACCATAAATTTCACCATTATTTTGTTTCAGATGTTGCACCGAAAGACCCAAATCCGTGATATATGCGTTTTGAAGATCGTTTTGTAAGATGTTGCCACTATGCAAATCTCGGTGAACGATTCCCTGTGAATGAATCGCTCTAAGATCGGTAGTTATAAAAAATAGTAGTTTTAATTTATCTTCCCATTCTGAAGATTTTGACGTAAAGAACCCAGGGCTGCATATTCCAAGATAAGAATATAAATTCCCTTTTTGTTTCTCGATATACCGTAACATTTCATAAACGAAGGATTTTCAACTCCGATCTCACAGTACGCTTTTAACTTTAAAAAATTTTTAATATTAAAATAAAATAAAATAAAATAAAATAAAATAAAATACCTCATTTAAATAATCATTTTTATGAAATTCTTTTAGCGCAATTTGGAAAGTAAGATTGGTATCATAACCATAACTTACATCTCTTGTCCAAATCGCTATATAAACATTCGCAAAACCACCTTTTCCGATTTGTCTAATATTTTTAAATTTGCTATAGGAAATCCAAACTAATTGATATTTATTATCATCTAATAATGTTTTAATATCACTGTCAATATCAAGATCTTTATATTCAGATTTGACAACTTTATGAAAATTTCCCTTATTTCTCTGAAACCAATAGTTAGATTTCTCAATATCTATTGTAATTCCAATACCATTTCTATAACAGTATCCTAACTGTCTCATACTTTCAGTATAACCTATGTCTGCGGCTTTCTGGTAATATTCGAACGCCTTGTTTTCGTCCTTCTCGATACCGATTTCGTTATGATAACAATAACCAAGCATGTGTGTTCCACTAGCATCACCCATGTCTGCGGCTTTCTGGTAATATTCGAACGCCTTTTTTTCGACCTTCTTGACACCAGTTCCGTTTCGATAACATTCTCCAACCATGTATGTTCCAACATCATGACCCATGTCCGCAGCCTTCTGAAAATATTCAAACGCCTTGTGTTCGTCCTTCTCAACTCCGATTCCGTCCTGATAACAAGCACCAACACCACGTGTTCCATCAGCATAACCCATGTCCGCGGCCTTCTGAAAATATTCGAACGCCTTGTGTTCGTCCTTATCAACACCGATTCCGTCCTTATAACAAACACCAACACTAAATGTTCCAGTAGCAAGACCCATGTCTGCGGCTTTCTGGTAATATTCAAACGCCTTTTTTTCGTCCTTCTCGACACCGATCCTGTTTCTGTAACAATCACCAACCCTACGTGTTCCATCAGCATGACCCATGTCTGCGGCCTTCTGAAAATATTCAAACGCCTTTTTTTCGTCCTTCTCAACACCGATTCCGTTTTCATAACAATAACCAACATAAAATGTTCCACTATCATCACCCATGTCTTCGGCTTTCTGATAATATTCAAACGCCTTTTTTTCATCCTTCTCGACACCGATCCTGTTTCTGTAACAATCACCAACCCTACGTGTTCCATCAGCATCACCCATGTCTGCGGCCTTCTGAAAATATTCAAACGCCTTTTTTTCGTCCTTCTCAACACCGATTCCGTTTTCATAAC